ATAGACCCAGTGCCCCCTCCTGACCACGGTCAGCTGACATGGACCTTGATATGGCGACATCTGGCGATGCTTCCTCTTATTGCCCAGAAGTGAGGGAAGAAGTGAGGGAAGAAGTGAGGGAAGCAGCTCTTTCAAGGACTCCCTGGGGTCCGTGCCAGCAAGGTCTAAGGAAAGGTGGCTGAGGGGATGGGAAACAAGGAGACAGAGGTGCCAGGACCAAGAAGATGGGCAGAAATGGTCAGGAGGTTGGGGTGGGAGGGTCTGTCTTGCAGTGCAGGGAGAGAAGTCTGCCCTTTGGCTCTGGCCTGGCTTCCCATTAACAGCTTCAAAAGTCATCTTTAACATTATGTCTAAATTGAATTAGCAATACAATCACAGGGCTGCCCTGACTTAAATGTTCATCCTGCTATTTCTACGTGTGTCTTATTCCAACCAACCACAAGTGAATTAACTTTGTGATTCAGGAATCACTTTTCTAGACCAATTAATTATGCCCTATGACCACTTGCTGTCCAAAGTTGATTCATGAGCACGCCCACGAGCCGTGGGAACACAGCACAGGAACCTCTCCCGGGGTCCTAGAGATAAGCCTGTGCCTGTGGGGACACCGTCAGAGACTGGGGACACCTGAGGCTCCAGGTGCAGGCAGGCTGGGGAGCTCTTCATCCTCCAGGTTGACACTGGGGCCTCAGCGAAGCACTTAAATCTTCCCACTTTCAAATACCCCTGAATGTTCGTAACCCTACTTTGACATCCCTCTTCTTTTCAGATACTGACAGCCTCACAAAACAAAAGTCTCCCAGACATCTCTGGGCCTCACAGAGACCCTAAAGCCAAAGAGGAATAAAGCAGATACTTCTGATTCCAGCCCAAGGAAAGCCAGTAACATTTGCCTCTAACTTGGCCTTTGCTTCATCACTATTTCCCTCGCAAAACTCAGGCCCAGTTCACGTGGGGATGGTCCCCATGCTCTTCCATGCTCAGCATGCTGACATCCTGGGTGTTTTCTCTGTGTTTCTCTGTAGCAGCTCCTTGAAACACCTACATTCCCTCAACTCTAGGAGATGTCCTGGGAGGCCACACTACAGGTGAGAGGAAGTGATGAGGTTTTGGATCTTCCTGTTGAGTCCTCACAGGGATCTTCTTGAATGAGGTCCTCGTGTGCAGGCTTGGGGTTGACGAAGTCAGTTGCCACAAGGGTCAAATACACACGTGTGTCAGTGAGGGTTCTCTGGACAAACAGAACCAGTAGGAGAAGCATGCCTATGACGAGTTCATTAAAGGAATAGGCTCCCATGGTGATGGGAGCGGAGGAGTACCCAAGAGAGCTGGTGGTGAAATCCATTCTGAGTTCAAGGGCCTGAGAGCCCAGAGTACAGAGGATGGGAAAAGATGGATGTCCCAGCTGAAGCCATCAGGCAGCAAAGGGCGAATTCCTCCTTCCTCTGCTGGTGATCCACTTCTACTCAGACCCTCAACAGATCGGATGGGATGAGGCCCACCCACCCCAGAGAGGACACCTACCTCACAGAGTCCACGGATTCAAATGCTCATCTCCTCCAGAAACATGCTCCCAGACACACCCAAGATCATCTTCCATCTGAGCCGCCCGTGGACAGTTAACCCATCTGTGAACCATCCACACCACGGACTCAAACCTGAACTCAAATTTCTGTTGTGATTGCTCTGTGCACCTGGTGGGTCTTCCAACTTCTCAGCTCAGCCAGGAGCTGCAGAAACTCAAGTTTGTATAAAAGGAAGATGCACGGGGAAGTGAAAGAGAGATGGAAGAGAAAGTGGCGGGCTGAGAAGACTGAAGAAACCCTGAGCCCTGTCAAGTTTCTCAAGATGTGTTACAATGGCCACCAGCTGCCTGACAAACCCTCTCATTCTGCAGACCCTCTCCTGGGTCTGAAGATGGTGCTTCTCCCTCTTGCTGGTTGCTGGCCACTCTCTGCCTGCCAGCATCACGGTCTGAGGGAAAGGCACTTGAGCAGTCAAACCAGAGGAATCTGCATTCCCTCCTGATATCATCACTCAAAATACGCTTCTGGTTAGATTATTGGTGTCTGAGCTTTAGGCAGGGTAACTAGTTGCGGGGAAGATTACGGAAACTCTTTGCTATGTGACAGAAAACCAATGAACATCACACCCCCACCCAAGTCAAGCAAAGCTTCAGAGGTTTACTTTCATGTTTTGATGTTTGGTTTTTAAACTCGTTTACTGGAGTGTCACAGGGGAACAGGAAATTGCACAAATATAAACACACAGATATCTGATATTTTAGGAATCCTATCCTTTCACAGCCTCCACTCAGACCAGATATCCACATTCCTTGGCAAGGGTCCTCTATATTGTGTCAGGGTGGGTGTGTACTCCCCAGATATGGCAGAAACAATGGGACATGACCTCCAAGGATAAATCATAAATATAATCATAAATATATTTTGCCTTGCTCTTTCTTGGACCACACTCCGCAGGAGAAGCTGGATGATCATGCAGACACTTGAGCAGTTGTATTGGGGGAGGAGCTAAGGACTCCTGCTAACCCCCAAGTGGACGTGTCATCTCTGAAGCAGATCCTTCAGGCCAGTCCAGCCTTCCAATGAGTATAGCCTGGTCAACATCTTGACCACAATGTTGTGAAAGAGACACGCTGAGCCACAACCACCCAGATAAGCCACTCTTAGATTTGTGACTTTCAGGAAGTGTAAGATAATGAATATTTAATGTTTCAGCCACCAAGTTTTGGGGAATTTGTTATACCACCATAGATATTGCATCTCGTTGGACCACAGTTGTCTAGGGCCATGTCTGTAGCCAATTTTGTGTTTATTCATTCACTCAATCACTCATTCACTCCTTCTGTGAACGGTTATCAGAAGCCGACAATTGGTCACAAAGTGCAGTTGGCCACTGGCTCGTTGTGTGATGAATGAAGCAGACCCAGAATGCTGCTGTGATATGAGCTCTATCCCAGTGGGGGAGATGCACAGAGACCACCCAAGGAAACTTACTGACAACGTTTGGTTAACTATGGAGGAATCAAATATGGGTTTGTGATTGAGACAACAGAGTGACTGTAGGAAGAGTGATCGGGGAGGCCTTTCTAAGGGAGTATATCCGAGGTGAAATCTATAAAGTAAGATGGAAGAAGCAGTGAGAAGAAGTGGACAGAGGATCCAAGGAGAGGGACAAAGAGATGCTAAGGCCCTGGGGAAGGATGGGCTCGGAGGCTAGAGCATTGGGCACATTGGGGAAGGGGAGCAAGATAGAAATGCAGAACCCAGCAGTGGCTGGGCCACTCAGGCCATGTAAGCCAAGCAAGGGCAGGGATTAGTGGGGGAAGGGTAGTGTCGGGACAAAGGGTGTACTGGCTACTCCTGAGTTTTGTTGAAGTGCTCTCTTGCTGATGAGTGGAACAGAGGGAGGACAAGGCACAAGGGGACTGGGAGGAATAAGGATGTCACCATTGTCCTGAGAGGGGAGAGGATTGTTGTAATGCCAGGAGGAAGAGAGGATATGGGCAGGTGGAGATGCTAGAAGAAATATTAATGGGGAGGGGCAGAGAGACGAATATTTGGTAATGGATCTGATTGCAGTGACTCTGGGAATATTGTGGCCTTAGATCAGGATAAGATAGTGTGGAGGAGGAGCAGATCTGGGCAGAGAGTGTTTAGGGGGAAATTGATAGACTTGATTGAGCATGACAAGTTTGAGGAATTGGCATAACCCATGCAAGATGTTGGGTCCTGCACCATGACTTGCCTCCCTACCATTTCCAGCGTAAATTCATCCCAAACCCATCATGTCATGAGAATTAACCACCCTGAGTGAGGACAGACCCACCTCCCCACCTCCTGGCAAGGACCATCCCCCAACTCTGCTCCTGGAAGAAGCCCCCAGTCACCATGTGAACCCAAAATGGACACTGGCAGCCAGTGCTTTGTCAGACCACCCTCTTGTTACACCATGGCCTTTGTGCCACTGGATGGAGAGGTGAAGCCCAGTCTCAGCTTCACATGGCCCCAACGTCCCATCAGCTCCTTCAGTCTCTGGACTGCCTTGTCCATTGTCAGTCCTCTACCCTGAGAGTCACAGTAGAGTTCACTGCAAAGAAGAAAGAGTCAAGTGAGGTGTTCATGGGGTTGGTGATGGTGGTTCCATGTCCATGTCTTGAGAACAGGGAAACACACAGGAGGGAAGAAAGTCTGGGGATTTGTACCCTGGTTAGAAACCCAGCACCCAAATGGAACCTTTGAAGGCATCAGAGGTCACAGTTCCAACTTGTGTGGCCAAGGTGAGCAGGGGTCCCATGGGGACTGTGGGTGCTTGGAGCTGCAGCCTCGGGGATCCTAACACAACTGTGGTCGCCACTGATGCCTGAGAGGATGGGCTGCTGGGGGCTCTACCCCGGACATGATCTCTCCTGACCAAAAGGAAGTGACATGTCATAGGGGTGGGGACATTCCCCTGAGGAAATTCTCATAGTGTTGCTCCATTGCATGGGGCGAGTGTGGACAGTGAGAGGAGCAGATGTTGGCTGCGGAAGGGGATGGCAATCCCAGTCCAGTCCTGAACCAGGCGCTGTCTTGGCATCGGGATTGAGTGGATCTGGGACACCAGGTCCAGGACTCTGCCTCAACCCTTGTTGCTTCTGTCCCCAAGCTTCCTGCACCCCAACCAGCTGAGTCAGCGTGGAAGAAGATTGTGACAACAAACACAGGCAGGACGGGGAAGCAAGGAGCCCTCAGAAAGCAGAAGTGGGCCCTGCAGAGAGGACCCTCTGTGAGGAGGCTTGAAATTTCCCCCCCTCAGGAGCCTGGCATTGCTATGGATGACGTCTGTGCTGCAGACATGACCCCAGGTGACGGGAGGCCGTGGCTGCCTGCAGCGCTGCTCCTTCTGCAGGTCTCAGGTGAGTGGGCTGAGCCTGGGCAGGGAAGTCTGCCCTGGGTGGGAGGGAGGGAGACAGGATGAGAGGAGTGTGAGGCAGCCCATGGGGAGGGGAGGAGGATGTGGGAGGGAGGACAGAGAGCAGAGAAGATTCTCAGATGGACCAGCATTTCCTCAGCAGTGACCAGGAGGATTCAGTGTATAAGTGGGTGAGTTGTGTCCACTGTGCCAGAAAGAGCAGCCCTGACAAGAGGGGAGGCCAGTGACCAACATTACTGCAGTCAGAAATGACGTCTCCGTTCATCACACACACACACACACACACACACACACACACACACACACACACACATCAAGGACACACTCTCCTTGTGCCACTCTGTGAGGAGGGAGCTACCGACGTTCCCTCTGGTCTAAGGAAAGGCCTCGTTCCTGCCAAGGCCTCCTCCTGATGCCGAGGGCCCTTGAGGGACTCAATAGTCAACTTGACCTCAGATCCCATTGTCCCAGGCCCCTCTGGTGAGGGGTCACCCTCGGCTGTGTTTTCCAGGTTGTTGGTCTCTGAGTGGCCCCACCTCCGTGATGGGCACCGTGGGGGGATCTGTGAGCGTGCAGTGTCAGTATGAGGAGGAATTCACAGAGAATGCCAAGTACTGGTGCAAAAGTCTCTGTGTGTGGAAGATCGTAAAGACCAAAGGGGCAGACAGAGAAGTGAGAAAGGGCCGTGTGTCCATCAGGGACCATCCTGCAAACCTCACCTTCACAGTGACCTTGGAGAGTCTCACAGAGGATGATGCCGGGATGTACCTGTGCGGGATCGATTCATCACCGCTCCCAGGATATTTGTTCGACGACACCTTCCAAGTTGTGCTGTCTGTGACCCCAGGTGAGCTGTGCACACCCTTCCCCCCACACCAGGACCAGGGCTGCCTGAGGCATGGGCTGATTACCCCAGCCCCAGCGGGAAAGCGGGGGGATGTGGGATAGAAGAGCGGGGTGAGGATGCACTGGGTGAGCAGGACACCAGGGGTGTGCCTGTGTGTGTCCATGGATGTGCGTTTGCGTGTTGTGTCTGTGTATATATTCATGTGTGTCTCGGTCTGTGTGCAGGCGTTGTGTTATCTTTACACTCACACAAGCACATGCACACTCTGGCTGACCTCAGTGTGTCCCACCTGACAAACTCTCACACGTAAAGCTCTCCCAGGGTGGGCAGTGCAAATGGCCCTAGTCTGGGGATGATGGTCAGCCTTCCTGTCCTGCCAAGGGTCCTGACCATGCAGAAGGTGTCCTGAGCCTCTTCCTGGATGTCTCTCTGTCCTCCCAATGGGGGAACGACCTTAGGACACGGGCTCCTCTCCCTTACTGGCTGCCCAGGACCCCGGGGCTCTAACAGGACATTACTGTGTCCTGGATGGTTCCTGAGCACCAGCCTCACAGCTGTGATCCTGGGGGTCTGCAGCAGCCTCAACAGGGGCCCAAGAAGGAGCCCCAGACCCTGATGTGGGGCTTCTGGGAGCGTTTGGGGAACACCCAGCCCCTCCAGCTTGACCCTCCCCATTCCTTCCGTCATCTTGTCCCCACAGGAGGGAACCCTGAGAAACTGCTGAAAGCTCCCCTCAGACAAAGGAGGGGAAAAAAAATGAGAAACATGAGTTCTCAGGTACTATGGCCCGAATTATACTACCATGTGATGCAAAGAATTCTTTACTCGAACCCTGTTTTTGTTTCCTGAGAACCACATGGAGTTCATCCTTCTGAGTGTTCAGGTTTTTGTCTTGTTTTCTTATTCCGATGTTGGCCCTGGCTCCTCTGACGTCTTTCCCGCAGGTCTTCTCTCTCACATGGGGCGTTTCCTCGCAGGCCTCTTGTGGACTCCTATTTAACAGCGAGGAGCTGAGTGTCCTCGGACACCACCGCTTGGAAGAGAAAGTCCATTGTCCAGTTGGCTTCAGGACAGGGAACTTTCTGTGTGGTCCCCCGGGTGTGTGTCTGTCTCATTAGGTCTTTCTTTCTGTCTATCCTTCCGTCCCGTGGCCACCCAGGTTCACAGTTCTGGCTTAGAGTTCGGGGGCTGAGTGCACTAAGTGCAGGATCCATCATTCAGTGGGGACTCTGCTGAGCGCCCTGTTTCATGGTTCTCACTCCAGACATCAGCCCTGCCTGAGGACCCGGCCTCCACCCCCAGCTCTGGATCAGTCTCTGCAGAGGAAAGCTCAGCCCATCCTCTGCCAGGAGAAACCAGGGGCGGGTGGCTGAGCCCAGAGCCCTGAGCTCCTTCCACACACTGTCCCATGCCCTGCTGGGAGATGCTCTGCCTCTGAAATCGCCCACCTGGCCAGGGTGCACCTGCAGAGAGGGCGGGGGAGGCCGGAGTTCCAGGCAGGCCTGGGTGTGGCTGTGGGCGGATGTGGAGCCCAGACGCCTGTCCAGATGGCCTGAGTGACCAGGACTATGTGAGTCGGAGCCACACAGCTGACAGAGAGTGGGAGAGCCTGGGGGGAGGACAGCAGGCCTGACGTGTGCTTCTCCCCCAGCCAGCACTGCAACCCCCAGCTCTGAGAGGCCCCCCAGCACTCCAGGTCTTCACAGGACACTGCCAGCCTCCACATGGGACACTGCGACCTGGCAGGAGTCCTCCACTTCCAGCCAACGTCCTGGGTAAGGGGCTAGCAGCTGGAGATCTTTGACACCTGGGTGATTTCTGGGGAACACGGAGGACAGAGCTGTGTGGGGTGTGATTGTCGTGGCCTCCATCCCACACTATTTACCAATTCCACACCTAACGGTGAAAGTCCTACCGTGTGCTCGGCACCCTTCTAGGGATACAGCCCTGGGCCACCGAGACACAGACCTGCTCTGACAAAAGTTGGGAAATTCACACAGTGGACAACTCAACCTGAGAACAGATGGGTCAGAGAGAGCATGTGTGGGGAACGATGGGGGCGGGACTGCTGTTCCATACACAATGATCAGGGAGCCCTGGCCAGTGAGAGGACATTTCCCTGGAGACTTGTAGGATTGGGGGAGCCAGCACTCAGGTATCTACAGAAATCGGGCTCCGCGGACAGGGAAGACAAGTGCCAGTGTTGTGCAAAGGGGGACTTCAGGATCTAGCCCAGGTCAGGTGCTCTGGGGGCCCCTGAACTCTCTTCACTGCTCCCTCCCAGGCCCTCACTGGAGAGTCATCCTATTGAAGACGAGGCCACAGAAGGAGAGAAGAGGTGAGTGGGGTCATTCATCCCCTCCATCATTAACCTCTGAATCTCAAGGGTAAGGTTTGGAGGGACCACACAGGTGCCAGATGGACCCTGGGACTAAAGCAAATACTCCATTCCCTCATGGGAAATACTGGTTATGGGAGAACAGACATTACACAAGCAACCCAGCACTGATTTCTCGTCCATAGACAGGGTCACTGCCCAGGGGGAGTGGTTAGATAGAAATCTTTTCCCAGGCCAGGTCCTGCCTGCTTCGTGGGATCTCCTCATGTCACTCCAATAGCCAGGCCCTCTCCATGTCCACATCCTGTCTCAAGGGCAATTGTAAGCCTGAGGGTCACAGAAGTGGTCAGATGATGGGGCAGTCCCAGCCATGGACCCACCTGGGCCTGATTTCCTTCTGGACTGCTGTGGCCTCAGGACATAGACACAGGGACAGAAGGGAAGTGGAGGGTACCAGGGCATTTCCCTGATGATGGGGCTCACTGTCTGTCACCGTGTCCCCCACAGGTCCCTACTGAGCAACATCTACTTTCCTCTCCTTCCTGGTCTTGCTGGAGGTGCCTCTGGTCCTGAGCATGCTCAGTGCTGTCCTCTGAGGGAACAGGCCTCAGAGGGCATCTGGGGGGATGTGGCATCAGCCCGATAAAGCCAGTAATGCCAACTGCCCACTAATGGATAGGAAGATGGGGTGCATGGGAAGACGGTGGGCATGACGAAAGGAATCCAGATTCATTGAAAACAAATGACAAAGAGCCTGTTTGGGTTTGGATTTCCTCAAATCTGATGGGGAGACAAAGACTTAGGTGCAATTAGTTTATGGAATGGTGATCCCAGGAAGCACAGGGAGGGAAAGGGAAGATGGGGAAACCAACGAAGCGGGCTTTGATGGAGGAGCCATCGCAGGGGAACTGGGCTCCGTCACTGGGTATCCTCAGAGATGCTGTGTAGGACGCACCCCAGAGCTGTCCCACCAGCCCTGAGGAAGCTGAGGCAGTGATCAACATCCATCTGCCCTCACGGTGGGGAAGATGGTGGGACTTCCTGTTGCTCACAGAAAATGAGGGAAGTCCCCTTATCTAGAGAGAGTACTGCAGGCAGAGGGGCTGCTTATACTCTCACAGAGTGATGAGGGAAGGCCCTTCATCTGGAGAAAGAGTATGGCAGGCAGAGGGTCCTCCTGGGGACATGGATTCTGTGCCATATCTCGCCTGTTCTGCTCAGCAAGCCGAACTTTCCTATAGCTAAAGAGAGTCCTCAGGCAAAGAGGTGAGGGAGCTGGAGCGGGGAAACCACTGGCCGTCCCAAGACTGTCCACAGTTGGCCCGGAGTTCAAGTGGGCAAAGAGGATATGAGCCAGGGTGCCAAACAGGTGTGCAAGAGGATCCCAGTGTGACCTTGGAGAGGACATCAGCCAAACCACAGGCTGAGAGCTAGGCGAGGGGATGGCGACATGGAGAGCTTCTAGAAAGGTCCCGTGTGGGGAGGGGACACAGCATTTGTGAGGAGCTGGTATGGGGACAGTTACTGGGACCCACAGGTGAGGGCACTGGCCACGAGCTGAGCTTGGGGAGGTCCCTCCTGGACGCTGATGGAGGATGTTGAGCGGTTTCAGTAGAAGAGCTTCTCCAAGATCATGTTGAAGCTGAATCCAGACTAGGTTGAGAGGAGAGCTTTTATAAGGGAGCATTTCACCCTCAAAATCTGTCCCTGCAGGAGCAAGGGAGTGTTGAGGGTTGTGGGTTCAGAGAGCTGTTTCTGGGAACCAGAGCCTCCTGGGTCTCCTCTTCTCCCCCTCTCTCCATTCCTCACCACCACATCCTCATGTGTCTGCTGTGTCCTGATGCTCACGGTCAAGTCTTGACTGGAGGACACGAGACTGGGGCCGGACCTTCCAGCCCTGGTACCATTCAGCTTTGAGGCTGATAGTGATTTCTGAGGCCACAGAACCTGAGCACAAAGGCAGGTGGGGGCAGAGTGTGGGCTCCTGTCCAGGAGGAAACTCCTGCCAGTCACCGTGTCCCTCCTACAGGTCCCTGCTTGGCAACGTCCACTTCCTGCTCCTCATTCTGCTGAAGGTGCCCCTGTTTCTGATGATGCTCAGTGCCGTGTTCTGGGTCAACAGGCCTCAGTGGGCAATTTGTGGGCACCAGAGTCAGCCTGATGAAGACAACCTGCAGCCCTCCTTGCCCATCCATATCCTGTCCAGAGACAACACCACGCAGACTAGGAGAGGAAGAACTTCTGGACCCAGACCTGTCTCCTCTCCCCTTATTGCCAAAAACTGGTAACAAACAAATCGTTCAATACTTGAGTGAAGCAATGAGATCCATCACACACACAAGTCGATGTGCGTGGTGTTTTGCTGGGGAGAATGGGGGAGGGACGCCCTAGGACTCCTAACTTGCTAGCAGAGAGCACCGAGCACAGCCCAGGTGACCAGAGAGCCCGAGGTGAGGGAAGGCCTGCTTTCCCATGACCTTGTCTTCCTGAGAACCCCCAGTGCAGGCTCTCAACTCAACATTCCTTCCTTCCTACAACCACTCACCAAATATTCACCAAGAGCCTGTGTAGCACCAGGCTTGTTTCTAGGTGCTGGGAAGAAAACAGTCAACAAAACAAGGCCTTTCTATTCTAATGGGTGGTTTTGAAAACTAAATAAGGAATACTGTTTTATAAGAAGAAGTGTCATGAAGAGGAATGGATGAGAGTTCAATGAATGGGGTGACAGAGGACAGGAACAGACTCTTTCATTATGATGATGATGATGATGATGATGTACAGTTAACCACTGTAGAGCACGTCATTAGTTTTCGATGTAGTGCTCAGTGATTCATTAGGTGCATGGAGCACCCAGTGCTCATCACAACACGTGCGCTCGGTAAAACCCATCAGCCGGCTTCTCCATTCCCCCACCCACATCCCCTCTAAAGCTCTCCGTTTGTTTCCCAGAGTCCATATTCTCTCACGATTTGTCTCCCGTTGGGTGAGAGCCTCAGGCTGTTGAGGGAGGGAAGGTAGAAGGTCTGAACAAAGGCAAAGCTCAGGCCAGGGGAGGGTCATTCGAATCCAGTGGGCAGGAATCTGGGGGTCAGGTAGATGGATAGGCAAGGCAAGCAGATGGAATCCAGCAAAGAATTATGCACCCTGATGGAGTGAGGTTTGTTTCAGGTAGAGAAGGCTGGTTCCACGTTGAAAAGTGAATCACTGTATTCCACCATACCAAAGTAAGGAGGAAAAAATCATAGAATCATATCAAATGACACTGGAAAAGCATATGACAACCTCCAATACCCACTCATGATCAAAAAGAAACTCATAAAAATAAGAGTATTTTTAAGAAGGAATTTCTTAGTTCTAAGAAGGAATAAGAAGGAATTTCCTCGACTTGATGAAGATCATCTAGAAGAAAAATACAGCTAACATTATAGTTGGTGATCAAAAACTGAGTTTTCCCTGTACGATCCTGAGCAAGGCAGAGATGCCCCCTCTCACCATGTAGTCATCTCAGCCATGGAAATTCTGGCCATTGCAGTAGGTCAGATAAAGAAATGAGGGGATGGAAGATGGAAAAGAAGAATAAAGCTGTCCCTGTCTGCACATGACATAAATATGTATGTAGAAAATCTCAAGCAGGGGTGCCTGGGTGGCTCAGTGGGTTAAGCCTCTGCGTTCAGCTCAGGTCATGATCCCAGGGTTCTAGGATCGAGCCCTACATCGGGCTCTCTGCTCAGCAGGGAGTCTGCTTCCCCACTCACTCTGCCTGCCTCTCTGTCTACTTGGGATGTCTTACTGTCAAATAAATAAATAAAGTCTTAAGGAAAAAAAAATCTCAAGCAATCTACAAAACCTCATAGAACTAAGAGGTGAGTTCAGCAGGTCATGAGATACAACATGAACACACATCAGTCAATCACACGTCCATATACTAACAAGTGAACATATGGAAACCTGAATTAAAAATGCATTCCATGTACACTTACTCCAAAGAAAATGAAACCCTTAGGTATAAGCATAACCAAATATGTCCTGGATATGGATGTCCAAAATGACAAAATGCTGTCTGAAATCAAAGAAAATGTATATAAATAGAAGGCCATTCTCCCTAAACCGGAGTTCTCATCTTTCTGACTGAAAACCAAACATCCTTCTTCCATGGGTCTCCAGAATTTCCATGAGCTCTGGTCCTCTGTCTGGAGGGATCTGGAGGGATCATGACAGGCCTTGATACTCGACTACAAAAGACATTTCTTTTTTTTTAATTTTTTAATAAAAGATTTTATTTATTTATTTGATAGACAGAGATCACAAGCAAGCAGAGAGGCAGGCAGAGAGAGAGGAGGAAGCAGGCTCCCCGCTGAGCAGAGAGCCTGATGCGGGGCTTGATCCCATGAAACTGGGACCATGACCTGAGCCGAAAGCAGAGGCTTTAACTCACTGAGCCACCCAGGCGCCCCCAAAAGACATTTCTTAATTTTAGTTTTTTAACTTAAATTCAGTTAATTAACATATATTGTATTCCTAGTTTTAGAGGTAGGAGTTAGTGTGTCATCAGTCTTACATCACACCCAGGGCTCATTACATCACATGCCCTCCTTAATATCCATCACCCAGTTACCCCATCCCCCCATACCACTCCCTTAAGCAAACCTCAGTTTGTTTCCTATGCTCAAGAGTCTCTTATGTTTTGCACAAAAGGCATTTGTAGTTCCCAACCTCCAGGATGAGGATGAAGGTAACACCCAGAGCACACTTGGGGCAGTTCTCCAAGCCACCAAAAGATGGTGATAGTGACCATTTGCAGAACTGGGCAGTCCCTTCAAGGACTTAGACTAGCAACAGCAATCAGACAACAAAGAGAAATAAAAGTTATCCAAATTGGCAAAGAAGAAGTCAGACTCTCTCTCTTCGCAGATGACTTGATTCTTTATATGGAAAACCCAAAAGACTCCACCCCCAAACTACTAGAACTCATACAACAATTCAGCAACTTGGCAGGATACAAAGTCAATTTACAGAAATCAGTGGCTTTCTTATACACTAACAATGAAAATACAGAAAGGGAAATTAGAGAATCGATTCCATTTACTATAGCACCAAGAACCATAAGATAGCTGGGAATAAACCTAACCAAAGAGGTAAAGGATCTGTACTCGAGGAACTACAGAACACTCGTGAAAGAAATTGAAGAAGACACAAAAAGATGGAAGACCATTCCATGCTCTTGGATCGGAAGAATAAACATTGTTAAGATGTCTATACTGCCTAGAGCAATCTATACTTTTAATGCCATTCTGATCAAAATTCCACCAGTATTTTTCAAAGAGCTGGAGCAAATAATCCTAAAATTTGTATAGAATCAGAAGAGACCCCGAATCACTAAGGAAATGTTGAAAAACAAAAATAAAACTGGGGGCATCATGTTACCTGATTTCAAGCTTTACTACAAAGCTGTGATCACCAAGACAGCATGGTACTGGCATAAAAACAGACACATAGACCAGTGGAACAGAGTAGAGAGCCCATATATGGACCCTCAACTCTATGGTCAAATAATCTTTGATAAAACAGGAAAAAATATACAGTGGAAAAAAGACAGTCTCTTCAATAAATGGTGTTGGGAAAACTGGACAGCTATATGTAGAAGAATGAAACTCGACCATTCTCTTACACCGTACACAAAGATAAACTCAAAATGGATAAAAAACCTCAACGTGAGACAGAAATCCATCAGAATCCTAGAGGAGAATATAGGCAGTAACCTCTTCGATATCATCCACAGCAACTTCTTTCAAGATATGTCTCCAAAGGCAAAGGAAACAAAAGCGAAAATGAACTTTTGGGACTTCATCAAAATCAAAAGCTTCTGCACAGCAAAGGAAACAGTCAAGAAAACAAAGAGGCAACCCACGGAATGGGAGAAGATATTTGCAAGTGACAGTACAGACAAAAGGTTGATATCCAGGATCTATAAAGAACTCCTCAAATTCAACACACACAAAACAGGCAATCATATAAAAAAGTGGGCAGAAGATATGAACAGACACTTCTCCAATGAAGACACACAAATGGCTATCAGACACATGAAAAAATGTTCATCATCACTAGCCATCAGGGAGATTCAAATTAAAACCACATTGAGATACCACCTTACACCACTTAGAATGGCCAAAATTAGCAAGACAGGAAATAACATGTGTTGGAGGGGATGTGGAGAAAGGGGAACCCTCTTACACTGTTGGTGGGAATGCAAGTTGGTGCAGCCACTTTGGAGAACAGTGTGGAGATTCCTCAAGAAATTAAAAACAGAACTTCCCTATGACCCTGCAATTGCACTACTGGGTATTTACCCCAAAGATACAGATGTAGTGAAAAGAAGGGCCATCTGTACCCCAATGTTCATAGCAGCAATGGCCACGGTTGCCAAACTGTGGAAAGAACCAAGATGCCCTTCAACAGACGAATGGATAAGGAAGATGTGGTCCATATACACTATGCAGTATTATGCCTCCATCAGAAAGGATGAATACCCAACTTTTGTAGCAACATGGACAGGACTGGAAGAGATTATGCTGAGTGAAATAAGTCAAGCAGAGAGAGTCAATTATCATATGGTTTCACTTATTTGTGGAGCATAACAAATAGCATGGAGGACAAGGGGAGTTAGAGAGGAGAAGGGAGTTGAGGGAAATTGGAAGGGGAGGTGAACCATGAGAGACTATGGACTCTGAAAAACAATCTGAGGGTTTTGAAGGGGCGGGGGGGGGGGGGTTGGGGGATCCAGGTGGTGGGTATTGGAGAGGGCACGGATTGCATGGAGCACTGGGTGTGGTGCAAAAACAATGAATACTGTTACGTTGAATAGAAATAAAAAAATTAAAAAAAAATAATTCTCCTCTAACAGGATTGCTTCTTAGCTGCTGAGTCCTCCCAGATGATTCAAACTCTGGTCCTGGCCACCCCAGGGGTTAGAACTAAACCCACTGTATCCTGATGACCTTTCCTCCTCCGGCTCAGTCCTATAGCTTGCTTCCCTCCTCAAGCCCCATCCTGTGCATCAGCCTGAGATGTTGGCTTGCAAATCACTGTGTCTCCCTTGGGCTCAACTAGAGGTGGGCTGAGACATTCACAATCCAGAGCTCAAGATGCAAGCAGGGGTCCGGAGCCCAAAGGGTAGTTCAGACGAGAATAAGTCAGGACCCTCACCACCTGTGCACAAGGAAGGGTACAGAACCAGGCAGAAAGACAGGACACCTCGGACTCTAGCCCAGCACTTCAGCTTTATTGAGAAGCAGTGCCCACATGGCTCTTCTGGAATTCGTACTCCCTGGAAGAGGTCGATAG